ATCTTTTTAACAGGTAGAGACAATGAAGTGCAGAGAAGTGAAGTGCCTTTTAGTTCTGTGTTATATAAGCATTTGAGTCCTCAAGAAGAAATTTTAAAAGATTTAAATGTCCTGTCTGAGGAGTATCTAGATACTTAAGCACTAAGTAGAGAAAACCCTATTCTCTGCAACTTAGCAGCCTAGGACTAGAATTATTTTAATTGAATTAGGTAGACAAGAGAGGATCTATGAAAAATGTTCTGCGTTTCTCATAGGTTTCCATTTTTCCTTTATGAATGGTTTTAGTGATTTGTTTTCTGATAGCAAGTTTTCAACCTTTTTCATCTCATGGCACACACAAACTAATTGCTGAAATTCTGCAGCATATATATTATAAAATAAAATATATTTTTTGCCAATACAACAAAAAATAGGTGTAATTTTGATTCATTCACACAGGACGGCTATGTTGTATTGGGTGTTGTCTTTTTTTTTTTTTTTGACAATCTAAGAGAAAAGAGGTCAGTGCCCCTGACTAAATAGAAGGTATCGCATATTTTAAAAATTATTGTGGCACACCAGTTGAAAATCACTGCCTTATATTGTTTAGTGATAGAACAGAGGAAATTTAAACTAAACACATCTTGGACTATCCCTTGTAATTGGAAGCTAGTCAAAAATAATCTTTCAGGTTAAATAAATAGAACTGGGGGAAGGGAAAATTTTAGTACAGAGGTGAACGTAACTAGTTTTGTATATGCTTTACTTTAGAAATTCTTCAAAATTGAATTTTCTTCTAGAGGTTAATTCAAAAATTGTCTATAATTCTAGAGTTGAATGAAAGTGCCATGATAGCAGGGACTTTGTTTTGTTAATTGCAGAATCCTCGGTATCTAGAACAGTGGTTCTCAACTTGTGGGTCGTGACTCCTTTGGGGGTCGAACGACCATTTCACAGGGGTCGCCTAAGACCATCAGAAAACACATATTTCCGCTGGTCTTAGGAACCAAGACATCTCCAGGCAGGTCTGCCCACATGCAGATACATCCACATACAGATACACCCACATACAAGTACCCGGAGTGATGACATCATTGCGCTAACCCCAAAACATACTCCCTGTACAAATACAGGTGTATATGACAGGGTTGGCACCATAATGTACTCATGTGGACCAATCACACATGTGTAGAAAGCAACTACTGTGTAGAAAGCAGCTACTCTGTTAAAAGCAGCTACTGTGTTGAAAGCAGCAGTATTGGAGGTAAAATGACACTTCATGAATGATAATTACTGGGTAAATGTAAAATCATGTACTGTAAAATCATGAACTACTGCAAAAAAATATATTTCTGTACCATGGGAACTTAATCTGGATGCTGATTGGTCTTTTTATATTCAGCTGTGGTTGATGTGAATACTGCTCCCTTGTGATAACAACAGGTATGTAAAAAAAAAAAAAATGGTAAATCGTAGGAAACTTTAATGAACTGTATTGACTAAACTATGCCATCTATCATCTTTTGTATTATTAAAGCTATTGTTATATATTATTTTCATTAGCAAACCATCCCATGACAGTGGATCGTGTAGAGAAGAACGTTAAGAAAAGAAAATATAGTGAGGATTTTTTACAGTATGGTTTTACCTCAGTAATTACAGCAGGAATTGAGAAACAGCAATGTATTATTTGTTGTGAAGTTCTATCAGCTGAATCTATGAAGCCGAATAAACTAAAATGCCATTTTGATAGCAAGCATCTGAGCTTTGCTGGCAAGGATACCAACTATTTTAGAAGCAAAGCTGTCGGACTCAAGAAAGCCAGACTTGACACTGGTGGCAAGTACCACAAACACGTAGCAGCCGTTGAAGCTTCATATTTGGTGGCACCCAGAATTGCCAGAGCTATGAAACCTCACACCATTGCTAAGGATTTACTGTTGCCAGCGGCCAAAGACATTCTTCGAGTTATGATCAGAGACAAATTTGTTATGAAATTGAGTGCAATTTCCTTATCTAATGACACTGTCCACAGAAGAATAGATGACTTGTCTGCTGATATTCTTGATCAGGGTAATCCAGGAAATTAAATCTGCTCCACTTCTAATATTTAGCATCCAGCTTGATGAATCTACAGACATTGCAAACTGTTCACAGTTACTGGTTTACGTGAGGTATATTAATGATGGCAACTTTAAAGATGAGTTTCTTTTTTGTAAACCTCTTGAAATGACAACTACTGCTCATGATGTATTTGACACAGTTGGTTCATTTCTGAAAGAGCATAAGATCTCTTGGGAAAAGGTTTGTGGTGTTTGCACAGATGGTGCTTCAGCTATGCTAGGATGTTGATCTGGATTTCAACGTTTGGTACTGAATGAGTCACCAGAAGTCATTGGAACACACTGTATGACTCATCGGCAAATATTAGCAATGAAGACACTGCCACAAGACTTACAAGAAGTAATGAAAAGCATCACAAGTTCTGTCAGTTTTGTAAAGGCGAGCACTTTAAACAGTCGACTTTTTTCGCAACTGTGCAACGAGTTGGATGTGCCGAACAATGCTCTGCTATTTCACACTGAAGTGAGATGGTTGTCGACAGGAAAAGTATTAAAACGTGTTTTTGAGCTTTGTGATGAACTCAAAACGTTTTTTAATCAGAAAGCAAGACCGCAGTTGGAAGCACTTTTCAGCGATACAAGTGAACTGCAGAAAATAGCTTACTTGGTTGACATCTTTGCCATCTTGAATGAGTTAAATTTATCCCTGTAAGGACCAAACACAACATGCCTCGATTTGTCTGAAAATATCCAATCATTCCAAATGAAACTTTAGCTTTGGCAAAAAGAATTGGATGAAAATAAAATTTACATGTTGCCTACCTTACCTGCTTTCTTTGAGGAACATGACATTGAACCAGACAAAAGGATTACGATGATAATTTCTGTGAAAGAACACCTGCAAATGCTTGCAGACGAAATTTCATCGTACCTTCCAAATCTCCCTGACACCCCATTTGCACTTGCCAGAAGCCCATTCACAGTCAAAGTTGAAGACGTTTCTGAGACAGCACAAGAGGAGTTCATTGAACTTATTAACAGCGCTGCAGCGAGAACTGATTTCTCTACAATGCCAGTTACAAAATTCTGTATCAAGTGTTTGCAGTCATATCCTGTTCTAAGACTGTTGCGCCGCCTTCTTTCATTTCCAATAACATATCTTTGTGAAATAGGGTTTTTCAGCTTCTTGGTTATCAAGTCTAAATACAGACGTAGACGTGTTGTGGAAGATGATCTTCGTTGTGCTCTTTCAAAGACTGCCCTGAGAATTTCAGATCTGGTGAGAAGCAATCTCAACCTTCGCACTGACGGCTTTTTACGCATACTGTCGCAAAATGTTGCAATGTACTTTACTGTTGTTATATTAAGACTGTTACCCATGCTACACCATGCTTCAAGACAAAATTTCATTTAGTTGTAATTAGAAATAAATATTTCACAATATATAATTACATACTGTTTTGTGATTAATCACTATGCTTTAATTCTGTTCAAAATAACAATGAAAATACATCCTGCATACCAGATATTTACATTACGATTCATAACAGTAGCAAAATGATAGTTATGCAGTAGCAACAAAAATAATTTTGTGGTTGGGGGTCACCACAAGATGAGGAACTGTATTAAAGGGTTGCGGCATTAGGAAGGTTGAGAACCACTGATCTAGAACATTACTTATCACAGTCTTGGATTTTATTAACTAATTTTTGGATGGATGGATGGATGGATGGATGGATGGATGGATGGATGGATGCTGAGATGAACTGTACAGATATCTTCCAGTTTTTCTACATACTCAGTGGTATTATTGGTTCTATTTGAAGAAGAAAATTATTTAAATGTACATATAGTTTACATTTTCCTACTTGGTACATAAGTTAATTACTGTGTATAGTTTAAATAATATCAGTCAACTTACTTGTTTTGAGTTGTGATAAACATAGGCATATAAATAAAAAAATGCCTTTTCCAAAGCTATCCCCATGATATATGCACCAAGTTATTTTGATTTTTAGCTTCACATTCTCTGATCACCTGAAGGCAGTGTAAGTCACTGATTTGCTCTTCAGGAAAATGTCTCTTCTTTTGTTTTTAAATTAGAGACAGCTGCTAGATTTGGCTAAATTGGGCAGACGGCATGCACATAGTAGCTGACTGCATCATACTGCTAAATATATAATGAAATGTAACCTTCCTTAATCAAAATACAGTGTTTTTCCTTCTTTATCTTTTACCCTTACACACATTTAGCATTCATGTAACTATTCTGGCCTTCTATTTTCAAAGACTTTCTTTATATATTTGATGCATTTAGTTGAAAGCTGCTGTTAACCAACCCTTTCCCCTTAAATTAATTGATAGCCAGGTTTTGTATAAAGTTTTCCATGCCTTTTCTGAACACAGACCCTTTTCCTGCTAAACTCTTTTTATTTATTTTTTCCCCTTTATTGATTTCAGAGAGAGAGGAAATAAGAGGGAGAGAGAGATAGAAACATCGATGAGAGAGAACATCGACTGGCCGCATCCTGCATGTCCCCCACCAGGGATTTGGCCCACCTGGGCTTGTGTCCTGTCTGGGAATCGAACCAGCGACCTCTTGGTGCATGGGTCGACGCTCAACCATTGAACCACACCAGCCGGGCTAACTCTTAATTTTTAATCTTTATACTATAGCATATAATTAATATTAATACTGCTCATTAACCAGTTACCTTATGACTGATGATAAAGCATTTTACTTCTTAGAAATAGAAGTATTAATTTTTTAGATTGCTTTTCTCTAAATGCAGGCATCCCTGAGTAACTGTGTAAATTTGAGTTGATTCATTCAGGGCCTAAGCGTTTAGTGTGCCTTTGTGATACAGTTGTGGTCATACATTGAATTTCTGTTATATGGGATGCCTATTTGGAACTTGCAGGGAACTGTATGTTAGTGCCATAAAATAATTCACATACCATTATGAGCCACATTCAGAGGTGTTCACGAAAAGATTTTTCTTCCTTTGCCATATCTTGAAGGATATGAATGAAATTCTAAGAATGCACCTAAAATTAGAACTGGATTTAAAATTTTTGCATTTCTGGGAAAATCACCTTTCTACCTGCAACACCATCCATACAGCAGTTAAAGGCCAACTATCAAGTAATTCATCATCACCTAGATTCTTACCTCTTTTTTCTTTTTTTTGTATTTAATTTGACCCAGTCATCTACCCTTTTACAAGCACTCAAATTCTTTCTGTGTCTTCTGCAACTCTTTACTTTATTGGCATAACTGAAACCTATGTATTCATAAAAGATGATTTTGTAGCCCTATCATTTTCTTTCCCTGAGTTTGACTTTCCCAAAGCAAAACTAGCATGTTAGGCTTTATGAAACATATTTTTGGTTCATGATTAGAGGAGTTCATTTATTCTACAATGATCCACTAAGCTTCCTTCTACATGCCAGGAACTGTTCCAGGAACAAAAGACAAAAAAAAATTCCCTGTACTCATGGGCTTTTATGTTCTAGTGAGGGGAGGCAGAAAGTAAATTACATTTGCGGTTGAATGTGTGTACGCACACACACACCTCTCACATTCATGCTAGATATATATATATAAATACAGAAATAGGTTTATATTTGTGAGTACATGAAACAGACTTTATTCTTATGTATTAATTATTGTATTATTTTCCATATGAACAACTGTAAACCTACTTTTGCCCCACCCTATATATAAGTGCTGTGGAAACAAATGGGGAGAGGAGCCTAGGGAATGCCAGAATAGAGGTGGTGATCAAAATTTTATAGAGTAGCAAAGATATTTTTAAAATTTTAAGGTAGCAAACTATAGAAATCCTAGGGGAAATAAGTTTCAAGAGTTAAAAATAATATCAGTTTTGAAAAATAATAGATCAGGCATGTGATAGGTGGTTGTCACTCCCATTCCTCAGTTTTATAGATTATTTATTTTCCTTTTAAGACGGATCTAAAATTGTAAAAATTTAAAGCAGGTAGGGGATTATTTATCTCTGTTTCGTTACATGCAAAGAAATATTAAATAACTTGACCAAGGAACATGTACTATACTGCAATAAATAATGAAATAATATAAAATAATTAATGATTGCCAGTGGAATGTAATAAAGAAATTTTTAAAAGGCATTTAAAATGTTTTAATTACCCATAGACACAGACAATAGTGTGTTGGTGGTGTGGCTGGATGGAAGTGGGCAAAGCTGAGAGCTGGGAGGGAATGGGGACATCTGTAATGTAACAATACAGATAAAGTTTAAAAATATTTAATTAATGGATTATAGAGTTGCCCACCTGAAGTTTGTTGGTGGGAAGAGATGGAGGCTTTAGTGTCTGTTGCTCTTGGGTCGTTAGTAATGCTAAACCAGAGTGAGAAGTATTAAATGTTTAAAGTGCATGTCACTAGCTGTGAACCATCAGCTGAAGTTATAGACAAGGCAGTAGGATTTAAAAAATAATAAAGCTAAGAAATGGATGAACTATTTAAGTTCTCTTCACTAGCAGTTTTTTAGCTCCTGGTCACCCAAGACTTTGCTTGCAGTTTCATTTTTTTAATGTGAGGAGTTTTCTCATACCATGACCAAGTTCACTATTGTAACAACACATTCATACACATTTTGAAGTGTCCATTAAAAATATGGTACCAAGTATTTGTGAATCATCACAATGTGATGATGTTAGCACTTCTTTAATATATTCACTGTTCACCTCATTAAATCCAGCCTCCTTAGCACGTTGTAAGACTTTTTGCTTTACAGTCAACTTTTCCTTCTCCTGAAAGTTAACACAAAAATATGCTAGGTTCTTTTATATTCTGTTCATTGTTGTGATACTTTTACCCAAGCCTGAGTGACTTAGATATCTTTTTACAAAAACGGCTTCATAAATCCTACATCTAAGAAGTATCAAATGCATAAGCACACCATAGCAGATATTTTAAACTGAGTGAGAAAAATATATCATGTGATTTTATCTATCCAATCTTCTACTTGATCAGAATATACCCCATAGGGATCATGAAATAGGAAATAAATGAATTTACTGACCTTTTCATAGCTCTTAGTTTCTACATGCCTCCTCCTGTGCTTTAAAGCAGCTCTGCAAATAGAGCATGATTCTATTTGTTTAAAAGATGTATTTTAGCCCTGGCTGGTGTTACTCAGTAGTTAGAGCATCAGCCTGTGGACCAAAAGGTCTCCCATTTGATTCCCAGTCAAGGGTACGCACTTGGGTTGCAGGTTTGACCCCCCTGGCCCTGGCCTGGGCATGTGCAGGAGGCAACCAATTACTGTATCTCTCTCTCACTCACACATTAATGTTTTTCTCCCTCTCTTCCTTTCTCTCTCTCCTTCTCTCTCTCTCCTCCCCCTGTCCCCTGCCCTCCATTCCTTCCACTGTCTCCAAAAGTTAATGGAAAAAATATCCTCGGGTGAGGATTAACAGCACACACACACACACAAAAGATGTGTTTTATAATAAATAGTAATGTGTGAGATTGTAGAACCTTAACTGATGTAAATACTGTACTTATGGGTTATTTAAGAGATTTTTAAGGATAATTTTAATTCTACAAAGTGACTTTACCTTTATCAATTTTAAATATTATTTTCTTATATCCCTTTAAGATTATTGATTTTAGTAGATTTTGAACTCCTGGGAGGCAAAGAATATCTCAACTTCTGTCTTTTCAGTTCCATATAAAATACTTATTTGTTTTTTGAATACAAAACAAAAACATAGAAGGCACTCTTCAACATGTGGTTGATATTTGCTACCCAATTTATGAAAAATGAAATTATCCATTTTAGAAATGAAGCGATGAAAAATGGAATCCTTTAAAAAATGCACGTTCATGCACACTATGTACATGTGTGGTGGAATAACATGTCTCGGCTGCCCAACAACTTTTAGAATACTATAGAGCAGTATGGTTCAGGAATTTTGCAAAAAGGCCAAGCAATTACAGGAAGAGCCTATTCAAATGATGATGCAAAAGCAGTTTCCTGGTCAGCATTCACCTTCTCAGTTGCAGTATATTCAGGTGTCTTAAAATTTTGTTCTATGAAATAGTGTTTTAAGATGGGTTTTGTTTTGTTTTGTTTTATGAGAACTGATGTTTATATAACCATTCAGTCCCCCTGCCACAGATTTTGTGTGTTAGATTCTGTGAAAATAAGGCTTTGATTTTTTTAAAAAACTTCTTGGACTATCTACATGTCTTAAGAGATCTGCTTTTCTATGATTTTTTTTTTTTTAATTTTTAAACTTTGCATCAAGTTTTCAAGTTCACGGTATCTTACATTTTTTAGGTTAAAACACAACATTTACTAGTTTGTTTACTTTAAAAACAGTGATTATTTGTTTTTACCTAAAACAACAGGTTGTTAGATGACATTAGAATAAAAACAACTTCTTTTCAATAAAATGACTTCTTTTGCCTACTTTTTCCCAAAGATGTACTTTTAAAGCATAAATATACAAAATTGTCATTGCCCTGTAAATAATAGATGCACAACTCTAATTTAGAATTCTTAAAAATATATTTCTATTCATAATCTAGCAATAAAACTTTAAACCTGATTGTAGTCTACCTGCAAATTTAAGATAGACTGAAGTACTAAATTGGGGTGATATTAGAATCTCAGGATTAAGGCCTTTTAAGGAAAATAAGAAAACTTAATAGTCATGAAAATTAGCCAAGGACTGAAGTATTTCATGTGTCCTAAACTCAAACAAAAAAGGAGTGGGGAGATGTTTCTGGTCAGCTGTTTTTTTTCCCAGATAATTTTTTCATATATTGTAGTGTTATGGATGATAAACTCATGTGAAAAAAAACAAAAACAAAAACTCTAAGTTATAAGCTAGCCACATCTCAACTCTTTTATAAAAGGTCTTATAATTTTGAGTCTGATGTTTTTATTTTCTTGTTCTCACATAAAGATTGTTTTTTAAAATGTAATTTTTATAGAAATAGCACTTTGTGAAACATGCTCTAATACATGAGCTTTCCTCTTCATCTTACTTAATATGATATAGTTAAAGTTCGATTTTAAAGAATTACTTTTCCTCTGTGGCACTTTGGAACCCCAGTGACTGATTAATTCTGAACGTCTCTTACTGAGATATAAGGAGTCCAAGATTCTAGCAGAGAGTGTGAAATGTGATAAATTAGTTTTATAAATTATCATCTCACTATTTTTAGCTTACATATAATTATGAACTGTCAGCTACAGTTTGCTATTTGCTGTTGGCTAATTGTACATATCTATAGATATGTACAGACTATTTTATAAAATTTATTGATTAAAATTTATTCATTTTTTTTAGTACTAAGTAGCAACCATTCCCTGCCTTTCTCCATATGGAATTTATATTTTTATTTGTCTTTTCCCCCTTGAAGTGTTTTGAGTGCAGTCTTCTAAAATGTCTATATCTTCAGTAGAAGGGGCAGCGCATAAGCTTTACCATTGAATAAATATGAATTCAGATCTTGCCCCACCGTATATTAGATATGTGATTCTGACAAACTCCTTACCCTTTTTTGTGACTTAGTTTTCTCATATACAGAAGAGGCATAGTAATTGTAGAAACTTATACTCTGTTGTCTACATTCATCCACCAAAAAAAGTTTTATTAAAATAAGATAATTATATTTTAGTGTTTTAATCATTGATAGGTATATTGTATGTTCTGTAGTTGCTTCTGGTGGAAAAAAGAATATGGGCTATAAAGTCAAAACTAGATGTGTTGCTTGTCTTTTTTTTCTATTAAATAACTTTAATGTTGATCAATCAGGTTACTTTGTGATATTATATCACTGTGAAGATTAATATAATGCAAGTGAAACATTAGCTTAGGGCCATATTTGTAATAGGCTTATTCTTTGGTTTGTGTCCTGAGAGTTGTGATATATTGTAGTTTATATGACCAAGATAAATGGATATACATATTCTACATTGTAGTTTTATCTGAATTAAGAATGAAAAATAGGCTTTAAATGATTCGATCAGTGACAGACCTTTGTC